GTGCTAGTGCGATCGAGGCGAGGTGGAAAGCGCAGTCCAATCCAGTCGAGTCCAGTCGAAACCAGAATAGCTTTTGGGAAACAAGGCTAAATGCAATGGCATCGTGAGGCCCACTCGTATGATTGTGGGAAAATCCAACCATCTATCTTTCATCATCTATGATGAATACAGCTCGTATTCAGGATCTACAGTTCGTTTGAAAGCCTATTCATTGGAGTAGAAAGAAATCCTTGCTGAGGCGATTTTCCCTGTGGCACCCTTACCCTTCGAAAGGGACGTCTGATGGTGCGCCACATATAGCGCTCAATCAGTGCCATATCTGCCCACTTCTACGAGGGTACCTTGCCTTTCAGTTGCTGATTGATGGAGGCTCTCGACTCTCTTTGAACCAAGACGGCCCACCGTAAGATCATCATAACCTTCAGCAAGTCAGCTTCGGCTTGAGTGGTCATAGCCCTCTTGAGATGAAAGTCGCAGCACCCACACGTACCCCGATCCTGCGAGCCTTGTATCTGCACCATGGCCAAATCAAGCGGACCTCGGTGTACAGGAGGATAGAGCTGAGGCCTAAGAAAACTCCTGAAAAGACCGCATTGTAGAGTCCTCAACCGCAGGACTCGTTCTACAACGAAACAGCAACTACACATTTTCGAATTGTGAATCTGCGCAGTCTTTCATTGTGGCCTTTCTTCCACACGTCGTTTCGACGCAGCACCGTCTCGGTTGCCCAGTTTCCACCCTTCCATCTGCTACCTTCTTCTGCCAACCACCTCTACAGTCTAGCTGCCTAGCGTTGTAAACCTGAACAAAGGAAAACTTTTATTGCACCCTTTTTTATGTCCCTTCTCTGGCGGTGCCAGTTCAAGTAAATGTCGATAGGGGGCTTACCGACACTCTAAACCATCCGAAACCATTGCTCCACTATTTACACCCTCAGGAAACCTCAAGGAACCTTGTGCAACTCAGCTTGAGCAACTAACTCCTTTTAGCTGATGACTCAGATTGCACAAATATTCACCACCTGCCAAGCAGCATCTGTCCCGTTTCTGTAGGCACCTTGCTTGGAACTGATCCTGGATAGTCTGATTTATGTATTCGAGGAACCTGTAGACTCACACTTCAAAAGTTTATAAACCCCCATTCTGCCTATTTCTTGACAGATTTACTCCATTTTGGAGCCTTTTGACTTTAGGACTGTTTGTGTGCACACCTTTCGTACATGTAAATCTTATCACATCACCATACGTGGCACGTTGACTGAAAACGCTGCATTTCTCCATCGCTGTTCACACCAAATTCAATCGTCAAGCCCCCGAAGAGATAAGTCTCAGTATTTCAGTATTAAGTCGACTCTGATTCTGTGTCTTGTGTATTGTTTGCATCCCGTACGGAGGGAAGCTGCATTTTGAGCTCAACATCTGTCTGTATGTCAGTGTGTCATACTATCCTTATACCTTTCTGCCAACGTATCTCACCCTAACGTAGCCCATTCCTTGCTTATTTTACTGATGATACTGGTTCCCATCATTCTGTGGTTCCGGCCTTCTGTATATATACCCTGCCCTTATAAAACTTCTCTTCCCTATTTCTCCCCTTTCGATATTGTATACTTTAGTTCTTCTGCCACTACTCTAAAGTCTTCAAGTCCCTCCACTCGTGTCCTTGTGTCCTCTACTGCAACCCATACGTCTCCAAGTGAGCTTATCTTTCCACACTAGTTTCTCTCTTTTTCTGCCTTAAGTTTATTCTCCTTCTTTTTTCCTGGACGCATTCTTTGAAAATTCCAACAAGCCTCGAACATTCGAACCGATAATAGTTGATGTAAAAATTGTAACAACAGTTTTTCGACAGTATCAGCCTCACCACGTTGATAATGCCCAATTCTAGGATAATGATATATTTTCTGCCTGCTCATCTTTGCCTCTTTGGGCAGTCAGAATCCCTTAAACTGAAGCCAGCCACACCTTTTGAAGATTACACAAGCAGACAGACAATTCGCCAACATCTAGGCTCTTCTAAACCAAAAATCTGAGTAGAAGGTAAATCATGAAGTCGGATAATCTGTGCATGAAACGCTGCAGTTCTACTACATGGCTTAACCTTGTTTCATGAGCGGTGCCATGCTTTCAAGAAGACTTGAAAAAGCATGCCTCTCCCTGTGCCCTCTGTAGTCGTTGCCATTTGTATTCACAGTGGGACCGTTTATCGGATCCCG